TACGAATCCTTGTCCCTCCTCTGCCATTAGCTAGCCGTGACATTATGGAAAAACCACTTAATCTGCCTGAGTCTGTGTGTTCACCTTTCCACACTCAACTGAAGTAGAACCTCCATGAAATACTCCTGATCTTAGTCTTTCTTCCCCTCCAGTAAAACAGGAATTTTCTCCTCTGCTCCCTGCCCCTACGATTTAAGGTTTACACTATTATACTTAAAAGGTGGAGTTTCTTTAAACTTATTTTATTTACCTTCCCTTTTAGAGAGGGAGCAACTGGAGGGTTTATTGATGTCTTCCTCTCCATTGTCTCAAACAACACCTGGCAAAAAAAAGGATGGCTGTGTAAATGTTTGCTGAGTCAGTGACTAAAGTGCAGGCATTACACTTATCTCAGTGGCCTAAGGGAATTAAAGTAGACCACTGAGTTGAAAGGGCCAGCAAGTACATTCAGAGACAGAAGAAGCATCAAGGGAGTGACAGGGAATGATAAAATACTGCTGTTGTATAGCCAACCAATCATGAGATATCTTAAGGTACATAGTAAACATGCGCTCTGTTAACCAGAAAGTGCACAAACTGTGGTATTAACGGGCAAGATAAAGAGCCAAGCAATCCCAGGTTGGGTCCCAGTGTGCCAGCGTAATAATCAAACCACTCACTGGGTAGGGAACATTCTCCGTAGCAGAACTGCAGCTAAATAAAAACTCAAGACTGGATTATGAAGCTAGGAGAACACTGCATTCTTTGGCTGCAATGCAAATAACTATAGATTTAAAATATCCTCTAAAATAAAGAGTCAAGAAGACATACTAGATGTGAAAAAATAAAATTTAATCTGTCCTGCATGCAAAATGAGGATAGACCAGGTGAGGGATTGGGTGAAAGGCAAGGAACATTGAAGAAAATCCTATGGATCATGTAGATTTGGACATCGTTACGTAGGTATCAGAAGTTCAAGAAGCCCACTTAATGTAGTCCGCAGACAAGTTTTATTTGGATAGCCTGATTTGTGGGGTTTTTCTTTTTAAGTTTACTTTCAATGTCTTTAAGCAGGGCTAGACTCTGAAATTCATCTCAGGGTTCATGATTCCTACCGTCTCATATTTGCCTTCCACACACTGTAAATACATGAAAGATAAATGCAGCAGCAAGGAGAGCGGAAAAAAGTAACAAGTTTATGTATTGCTCCGGCAGAGGATGGACTGAAAGGAGTCACAGTACGCCAGGCATTTATGGATAACATATTTATGGAAGAATGTATTCATTCATTAGGGTATATATTCCACCATGTATAATGGCTTAAAGGCAATGTCTAAATAAGTGAAATTTACTTATCTTTCACGTCACATTCAGCAGAGAAGAAGTCCTGGACTGTTTTGCTCTAAAAATTAAGCCTGCAAACCAGGTCCTTCTATGTTGCTGTTCTACTATCTTGAGACAGTTGTTCTTGTCTGCATGATACAAGACGGGTCACCAGGACATCCCACCCCACATTCACTTTCAAGTTACTGGAGGAAGAAGGAGGAGAAACATGCACGTGAGCCCTTTAAGGACATGGCCTGGACACAGCACACATTATCGTGTTTCATATCCTCTTGCCTATAACTTAGACACATAGCCAAACCTAGATGCAAAGGAGACTGGCCGAATCGATGAAGATCAACTAGCACATTGGCGAGAAACAGTAAGAATCTGCAGAAGATACTTGAGACATTTTTTCAGGAAATTTCTTTCTAAGTAGTTTTACAAAGCAGATGAAATAGGCCTATTTTACTGATGCCTTTCAAAGTCTAACTCAGCAGGTGATGGTGAATTAAGTGTTCAGGAGCTTAAACAAAACAAATATAGGCTGATTGCTCTCACATGTGCTTATGCTGCGGGCTGCCATAAAACAAAACCTTTCCTGACTGGAAAATTGAATTATCCAAGGATTAGCAAGCAGATGTAGCAGTTGCACACTGAGTTGGTGCCAAGAGTGAGTCCTGGTCCTATCATTTCTTAACTTCATCACTTGATGATCCAGTAACTTCTATAAATCGATTTTCATTAATCTGTAGCCTAGGGATATTAGGTACTGAGGAGGGCTAGAATGAACATTTGATAACTAATGCATATGAAAGCAACTGGTTATTAGGAGGTTTTCAATAAACATTAGCCAAATCAGAACTCCTGTTGCTATTAACTGGGACAGTATTCTTTTTTCCAACTTATGTGTTTATCAGCTTCTTATATGTTCACGGAACCAAAATCTTTGCAAAGTTACTCTATTGCCAAATAAGTGTAGAGAATCATTCTTGAAGCTTATCACTTTCTCAGTTATCTGTCTTAACAGTTACTGAATGAAGTTATTCAATTTGACCTATAACAATAAATCTCTAGAATTAGATTGTGTAAAACTTAAAGCTTCAAGGAAGAAAACTATTAAGCCCCAGTTAGTTGTATATACCAGAATTGTTCTTTTTCTAAATAATAATGTTTAAAATGTGGATTCTTAGGATCCAACCCCAACCTGTACTATGGAAGCAAGATCCCAAGAATAGCATCCTGTACCTTCTACCTTTAATAAGCTCTTCATGTTATTGTAAACACTTTAGAGTTTGACAACTATTGGCCTAGAGATACAAATATGACAAAGCTCACGAGAAAGGCACAATACCATACAGGTAATATGAACACACCTGAGGTAAAGGTCTGTTTTCCTTGGCCTGATAATTCGTGAATAAAATACTTATTTTCCTGGTTAGACACTTATGTCCAAATTGAGGCTTCCTTTAAGAACCCTCCCCTCTTCATGAGTCACTTCAATCTTTTGAACCAATTTTGTCCTTCTTCTGGAAGATTCCAAGGGACTGGATGAATATTTGGGAGATTCACATGTTATCAAACCTACCAGCAGATCTAGATATATAGCTACCATATAAAATTATCAACAACGTTCTAGATGACTTCCACATATTCTTTCTAATCCTTAAAATGTCTGCAACGGAATTGTTATGATCATCATATTATGATGAGAATACTGAGATTAATAGAGGTTAAGTAACTTGATCACTATCTTTGAGTTAGTAAAACATGAAGCAAATATAGTGTTATTACAAGAAAAAGCAAAGAGAAATGAGGGCCTAAGTAAAGAAAATTCTATCCCTAAGAACAACAACTTTTTAACTCACTCTGAAGCTGGATGTAAAGTGGAAATTTGGGATTGTTTGTTTAGGAGTGTCTTTCCAAAAGCGAAACTCTTGAACTGAGAAGTAATACAGCGTTGGAGGGATGTGGACAATTTTGCAGGTGTTTTCAGAATGTAAACTAATTGAAAATAGCTTCACTAAAGAATAGCCTAGATTCCTTCCCCTGGTGCTCTGGGGGGAGGCTTTGCCTATTTATGTTGGAGGTTCTAGCTCAATATCTTCATTGCATTCATTAATCTTGTAGGCTTTTACTCTACCATAAAAACGTGAAAATTCACATTGGAACTCGAGGATGATTGAAGGTTTCTTCTCAGAATCTCACATTGAAAGTTGGCTTTTTTTTCCATTTCACGACATAGAAAGTTCAAATGTAATCTTCAACTGCAGGCATGGTATCTGCTCCCACAGAAATGTTGCTGATTCTTACCAACATAGAAGCAAGACTCCGTAAGCAGGAAGGACACTGAGGGAACGCTTTACAGACTCCCAAGGCGAATAACCCAAGTAAATCTGACTCACAGGGACAGAGTGGGTATCTCACTTGGAATTACTAGGAATAATTTGTTTGCAGATTTTCAGGGAGGATAGCTAGATCAACTAGTGGTATTGCTGAGTCCCTAGAACCTGTGTTCTGCTATTTATAAACTAATTCCCCTAAAGTGTACTGGAATTCTAAAGGTTTCAACCAGTATTTGCCCCAAACAAATGTCTTGTACACAAACAAAATATATTCGAGCCTAACTTGACATGATGTTGAATGGAGAGAATTTTTCACATAAACATTTTTTAACTACAAATCTTCATGGGTAGACATTCAACGAATAATGACTTATATTTTAATAGCTGTTACATTATGAGGTCTTTGATATAGCTTTTATTTATTGAAATCTACTGTGTACCAGGCAGAATTGTAGGTGGTTTCCATATATTACCTCTTATTTCAATGGAACCTCACAACAACCTCATGGTACAAGTAACAGAAAAGGGAAATGAGATTCAAATTTTTTGAGTCATATACCAGTCAGCCATAAAGGAGGGGTTGATACTATTTCCATTAAACTATGTTGTCGGCCATGACAGGATACAGAGGAAGCAAATACAGATTTTCACTTTATAGCAAAGGTGAATGGGAAAATTATAGCACATATTTTCCTATGTCAGTTTTTTTCTAACTTTCAATTTCTTTGAAACACCATCATCCATGTAACCAGTCAATGACTTACAGAAATCTTTCTCTTTTCAAGAGTAGTGAAAATATAAAGGAAATTCCTTCACTTTGATTTCCTATCTGAGGAAAGGCGATTACGACTCTTTTCTAAATGACAGTTTAAAACTTGAGGGTCTTGCCCTCAGCCAAGATTAATTTTTTGTCCACTCACCTATAACAGATGCTAGAGGCAGCATGGTAGCAGAAAAAGTAGAGCATGGAGTCAAATCACTCTTGTGCCATTTCTTAGCTACATCATCTTGGACGAGGCTTTAATTTCTCTGAACTTCCCATTTTCTACATCTGTACTGTGAAGGTAAGATTGCCTACCTCCTGAGGCTGTTGTGTTGACTTATTGACTAACAGAAATAGTACACATACACATAGCAGGAAATTAATAACAACAAATTTGAATTCCCTATTGTGTCCCAGAGTCAGAAAATAATCATTGCAAAATAATAAAAAAAGAGTTATTATTGAATCTCAGATTTATATATCAGATTACAAACCTTCATAATTTTTATTTATACACACACACACAAAGACACACGCATTCCTCATCATGTCTTCCAAAGGCCAATATATTAAGAATCATTTCATCTTACCACAGTATGAAGCAAACTCAATGTGGATGCTCCAACTTCATTTGGGATACTTCACGCATAAGGGTTCTACACCTTGAAACCATCTCCAACAGATTCCCTAAACAAAATGAAAGAAGAACTTATGGGAAAGTGGAAAAAAAATGTAAATCCTTCCAACAGTGTTCATCTCAGATTCCTCATGTCATTTTACATCTGGCTGCTTTTGCTCTCATTCTGAAAAAAACTTGCTGCATATGTCTTTCCAGGCTGCAGATTCACAATCCCATCTGATGTATCTATCCCTGATGACACTATAGCTTGCATTTTCAGATAATGAATTTCATTATATTTATTTTTATAAGTCAATGGGTAATCTTACATAGATACTAGAAAATAATAGTTAGGGTATAAAATAGCTTCCACATCATACTGAGTAATTTCAGTCAATCTATTTCAAATTAAATGATCTAAATATCACTAATAGCATATAAATGACAGAAAGTATGAGAGCAATCAAGTAATAGCAAGTGTGTCAGAGAAAGAAAAATAATTTGAATGTTATAGCTTTTCCCTTTTGAAGATGTCTGTGGTTGTCCTTCAACAAGATGAATGCACAAAATAAAACCATCATATGATATTGAAACATATTTATTTATTGCCTTTAATCACTTTAATTATTATGAAAAACATATCTTTACATATATTTCTAGCCTTGACAATTTTGCTGAACTGAAACCTCATTCATCAATTTATCAGATATTATGCTCTGTTGCAAAAACTTAGAAATTTTAATGGTTGTTAGACACCTCTCTCTCTCTCTCACACACACACACACACCCCTTGCAAGTCAAATTTATTGCAAGAAATTACACTGCAATCACATAAAATACAATGAAATCACATTTATTCATCAGCCCAGGTCTACACTCTTTAATAGCTATGTTGGTTTCATTTCAATAGAATCTTCTACCAAAGAATTAAATAAAATCTTGGTTATGCAAATAACACTAATGAAAACACTGAAAACCTGATTGTGTGAAACATCTCAAGCTTAAGGAGGCATGTCCTAGTGATCAATTTTAAATTAGTCACTTTAGAACAATTCCATTAGTTCACTTTCCTGGTGGCTTCCTGGATTTCTAGTTTGCAAAAATAGCAATTACAATCGTACTGAATGGCACAAGTGAGTCTCTCCTCTCAAAACCTAGAAATGAAAATGAGTCCACCGGGTCAATCAAATAATATTGACATCTCAAGTCCTCTTGATAGCTCCACTTCAGGTACAGACTTTGAACAAAGAAGGCCACTCTAATTTCCCTCTCAACAGAGGCCAAGTAAGAATTTTGTCAGTATTGAAGCTATTGTTTCATAGCCCAAAACCCAGCTTCTATATTCTGCATTGAGACTGGGGGCTGGGTCACTGCACACATATTTCTTTTTTGTCAGCTGACTTTCTGTTAGGTTCTGCAACAAGGGGCACTGGACAGAGGATGGGGGCTGCGGGCAGGCAGAAGAAGGGGAGCAAGGGGCTTATTGGTCCATCTTCATTTGCTGCCAGCATTGCTTTCACAATCGTCCTTTACCCTGTTAGCAGAAATCAGTCTGTCCACAGATTTTTCAAGCCCTTCAAGAACCAGCTTGTTCTACCCTCTCAGAGGCGTCAGCACTGGGCTCTGCATCCCCTCCTGGGAATTCTTGAGTTGAGCTCCCTAAAGCCTCTCAACTGAGCTCCTTAGATACCAACACGGGCTGCACAGCACCACCTCAAAGAAGTATGGACCTCAGAACTACAGTGTTCTTCTTTCAAGCTCCTAGTAACCCCAATTCTTCTTTTTATTCCCCTAAGTCCAAAGGGTGGAGCTGTTTCCTGTGGCCACCATCTCAGTACAACCTCGGGGGCCCCTTTTTCCTCTTCCAGTTCTCCAGCAGCTGTTGAACCTATTCTTTATATTAAATCATCTTTGTTAAAACAACAGGTGTAGTTTCTGTTTTCCTGATGGGACTCTATTATAGAATGTATATTTTATTCCCAGGTTGGAGGTGGGAGGATGGAGAAAGGAGAGAAGAAGAAGAATGAATAATCTAACATTCTTTGAGATATTTTCCATTTATTTTATTATTTAGCCTCCAGAATGTCCTATGAAACAGGTATGGTTATCACAATTATTTACATTAATAAAAAGAGCAAAAACATGTATTGAGTTCCTACAATGTGTTATTATCTTTACATAATTTATTCCATTTACTATTCATAAACTTCCTGAAAAAGGAGTACATTAGAATCATTTTATGGATGGAGAATTGAAGTCAAGGCTAAATTATATATCGCATTTTACACATCTAGTAAGCCCTAGAACAGTAATATGAACACAGTCTGTCTGAGTCCTAAGCCAATGGTGCAATTATGCACATCTTCAAACTATTGACAGATTTAAAATTATACAGTACCAAAAAATTACATTTGTTAATATCACCACCAATCTCATCAGAAAATTTTTTAAGTTTTGGGAAGTTGTCAAGCTTGTGGTGACATACAAAAGATTTTCAAAATTTTAATTTTTACTTGAAAGCGCAAGTTTGACCATTGGCAACAAATAGAAATACAAAATGGTTGCCTTCTTTGAAGTGACAGAGTTGTTTTATTTATTTTTGAGAAATATATTCCAAATATCTAAATCACCTAACTCTAGTTCGTCAGTCAAATTTTCACATTAAAATGGCGTCAAATGAAAAAATGGTTAGTTCAGCTTGCAACTCAACCAAACCCACAATTCCTTTAGCTTGAGACAACATCATACTTCAGTTTTCAGCAAAGTGCTTTATGTATATTTCACATTTCATTGCACAGAATATTAAAAATTTTATTCAGAAGATGTTATAAAAATAATAATCTATTCTACTTCATCAAGGACACTGTTAGGTGAACTGGAATTTTTTTTTTTTTACTTCAAATATGCGATGGTAAAAAATACAATGACTACTTGTAACAGTTTGTTTTTACCACCTTGAATTGTGTTAGGACTCCAACAGTTTTACCTACCATTGCCTTTGCAACATCAGTGCAATTGTCAATATAGTGAAAAAGCAAATAATATCTTGGTCTTAATTCAAAAATAGCTTTCACCCAGAAGGCTTTCTAAAAATACCCTGGCAACTCCATGGTCCAAGGACCAAAATTTTAAGAACCACTCATCAAATAGTGAGGCAAAAACAAGACATGAAGTGTTGGAGTACTTCTATGATTTGAATATAGAAGCCTTCTTTAGGCCAGGGGGGAGATGCCCCTCTCCTCCGTCAGTGACATCGCTATGGCGAGTTCTATGGGTTTAATTTTTAAGATTAAAAATACCGTTAGCTGAGGGAACAGGCAAAATAGAGAGAGACAGAGAAAAAGAGAGAGTGAAAAAGAGAGAGAAGGAGCAGACTGACAGAGGAGAAGAAACAGAAATAGGGAGATAGACTGATAAAGAAACATACTGAGCGAAGGAAGGAAATGTGGAGGGAGGGAGACAGAAAGATACAGAGTCAGAGAGGCAAAATTAAGGAGAGAGGGAGAGAAAGAGAGACAGAGAGGAAACAGAGAATGAGAGTCTGCTATTGCAATAGATTGCCAAAGAAGGAAAATAGAAAGATCTTTGTTTTGCCATAGTTTTCAAAGAGTCACATTTCCTAAGAAGATTTTTTTTTCTCTCATGAGAGGTTGGTTTAATGTGAATGTACGCGGTGTGTGCCTGTGTTTAGTCTAAAGGGTCTTACCCTTCCTTCTGCCACAACCTGGAAGCCACACTGGCTGTTGATAGAGGTGGTGAGGGATGCCTTGCACTGGAAGAAGACAGACTTTGGCATCTAGTACTAGAGATGTATTGCCAATGCTTTTACTTTTACACTCACACACTCCAGTCAGCAATGCCTGGAGATACTCAGTTTATATAAACAGAAAGAGACGTCAATACATAATTTTCCCTCTAAGCTTAATAGTGTGCAACTTCTTGTGTTTGAGATGGAGAAAGCATTAATTCTTTCTAAGCTGAACTGCCACTGGTACTTTCTACCATACATTATACATGTCCACAGTCTTAAACACACAGCAAAGATCCACTTTGTATTTAAATACAAAATCAAAAACAATTAATTATGAAATCTTCAAATCATTATTGTGAAACATAAGAAAAGATGCAATGCTACATTCATTGTAAGTGAACAATTAAAGCAATAGGTAACAGTGAAATGACTATGTCACTACCAGTGTGTCACTATAAGTGTTCACAGTGAATGAGACGAGCATGTATATGATTAGGTCTCAAACAAGTCAATGACAAGAAAAGGGGAGTTCTGGGCTGCTATTTTCCTTTACGCAAATAAAAGGTGACTTGTCACCGAGTACCTCTGGGGACAACATAGGCTGTGTGAGGCTGTATGTAACATTGGGAAGAGAGGAGAAAATGCACTGGGAGCATGAAGGGCTACCAGTGCCAGCCGTTATGATGCCAAACAGAAAGATGAGCTGTCTATGTGCTCCTGCCAATTCTGGTGAATTTTTAATACTTTCAAACTGGACCCTGATTTTTATTAAAGTGACAGGCTTTTGTCTTAACTGTGGCACTGTTTCTTTATCTATAAAATAAAGTGGTGGAACCACGATGGTATTTCCCAAACTATTCTGCACAACACTGGTGCACCAGAAGATGCTAAAGCAAGTTAGGTAGTGAAATTTGTAAAATACAACATACTGCATGCGTTTTGTGTTTTTGAGATTCACAGTTCCCTCAACATAGTAAAGATTACAAGAGGGTCCAACAATAAAAATCTTAAAAAAAAGTTTAACTGACTTGTTTGACCACAGAATCTCCTCCCCTTTTTATCACAATGTCATTTCTTGGGATGACAGCATTGCTTTGGAACACAGTTTGGGGAATCCTAAACTTGGTGCTCTCTAAAATCCTTTATGACTCCAGTATTCTTTCATTCCAAGCAGAAGAACTCTTTAACATGGTAGGACCAAGTGGCAGCACAAGGAATTGCCCCCTAAAAGAGCTCTAGCTGCCTCTGCATCTCAGGTGTTTGGAGTAAGCATATTCATGAGCTCAGTGGTTGAGGGCCATGGAGAATGGCCGGCCT